AAAATAGATCGAAAATTTTGTCAAATCTCTAAAATGAAATTTAGCCGAAAAATTTGTGATGATGAGAAACTCAGAGAAATTCACTTTATCGGGTCAGAATAAGGTGTTGCGACGAGAACGGTGAGATAGAGTGGCGACGGACAATGGATGCGTAGTTAGTAAATTACAAGCTGGCCGGCACAATGCCATGCATCGTGGCGTGCGTGCGTGCACGGTCTATGACTATGCACGCGTGTTTGTCTATGTACTCTCTCCCATCCAACTCGCCTAGCTGTCGCTCCTCTGCCAGGCTATGGTTTACACAGAGAACGGCGTGCACCGGCGCGTATCCACCGTTCGTCCATGCATATAGAGTCCGCGTGGGAGATTTCTCGGTATACATCAATTCAAACCGCTGCAGGTACCTGTACATTACGCGACCGTGCATTAGATACCCACACCAAGATTTCACCTCTGTTCTCCATTTCCATTGCGCATTCTGTATATTTCGATTTGTGCAGAGCAGTTGGGTACTGATGAATGACTTAGGTTAGTACATAAAGATTTCTTGATAGTTTAATGTTTTTGTGAAATTTTGGAAACAAAGAGAAAGAAAAAAATGCTAATATTTAAAGATTAGATAATAGAATTATTCGTTTCTATTGATTTTTGTTAATGTAAATATCTGACTTGAGTTAGGGAAATTTAGAGACTAATTATATGTTAAGGATTTTTTTGCGATTAATTTGCGGAAATTTTTTGAATTTTAATTTCTGTGAAATTTTGAAAATAGATTAGAGAAGAGCTAAGTTAAGCTTAAAGAAATATAAACTTTTTAAAACTTTCATTAATTTCTATTAATGTAAATCTAATACTTATTAGAGAGATTTTAATATGATGCATAGAAATTTTGGAATAGATTAATAAGTTAGGTTGAAAAAATATTAATATTTTTCATTTCTATTGACTTTTATTTATGTTAATCCACAATGATTAAATTTGATATTTGAATACCAAAGAAATAAGTACATAAGAATATTTAGAAATTTTTTATGTTTTACATATTTTTTATAGAAAATAGAAATGATTTAATTTTTTCTTGTGAATTATTGGAAATAAATTAGAAAAATAAAAATAAGTTAATTTTTAAGAATTAGAATTTTCCTATTTATCTATGTTTATGTCGATTCACAAATACTTGAATACCAGACAGAGAAAATGATCTGTATCATTTTTTTAATAGTTTGCTATGGAATATTTACGATAATAGATCTAGCAAAAAATATAATAAAAATACTTTATCTTTAGTAAAATGATTTTATCTTCGGCTAATTCCATCCAATACACAATCAAATTATTTATAATTAATAAATTTCTTTAATATTTATTTTTTCATAGCAACTTTCATTCATATTTGTTTATTCTCTTATATCATCTTTTATCTTATTTTTTTATAATCATCTTTTCTATTTTCTTCAAACTTTCGAATATTCTCTAGATCGATTACAATTTTAAAATTTAAGATTATCAAAAAGAAATAATCATTTCAATAGTTAATTACAATTTTTTTTGCCAATCTTGCTGTTGTCTCATGCCATTTTAAATCGATAATGTCGCATGTGACACGAGAATGGTAACGGAGGGTCATATAGCACTCAGCTATGATACAAAAATACATTGGATGATAGGTCTATTCTATACCAAGTCAGCGCTGATAGCTTCCCATCGATTACGTCTCATGACACACCTGCAGTCACGTTCACCAACTAAAAAAAACTTTTCTTAGAACAACCTGACATATCACGATAACTTGTATCACGAAAACATTAAAATCTAACCTATGGAAAGAAGCAAGAAGTCTATGTATTTATCTATCTACTATCTACTAATTAATATAATGCAACTTGACTATTTAATAATCGAAAAAAGATCGAAAAAAAAAACAATATTATATTATTAATATAAACAATATTATATTATTAAGAACTAAACAATAAAATTATGTATAAAACCTATGTATTTAAATGTTATGTTATTAACAAATTTAAATAAAAAATTTATGTAATGTTTTTTCAAATAAAAAATATAATATATTGGAAAAATATTTTTAATTAGTATACGAGTTGAATCAAATTAATTTTATATTAAATTTTAAAATTATGTAGGGTGATATATAAACTAATTTGTTTTAGAATCTTATTTATTATATTTGTTTGTTATAGCATATATCTATTTATTATTCAAAAATATTTTAATGTAATAAGTATATAATAATACTATTTACAACATGTATATAACTTAATCACATATGTGTAATAAGCAGGAAAAAAATGATTGAGAATATTACATACATTAGAAATATAAAAAATATTTATAATCTAAAAAAAGAATTGTTTGGAAAGTTTTTATAGAATAATTTTCAAAAATACAATTTTATACAAATACAAAATAAAAAATTTAAATAACAAAACTAAATAAAACAATTCATAAAAAAAAAAGAAAATAAGAAAATTAGTTGCAAATTAAATATTACATTGATTCGTAATTAAAAAAAAAAATCAAAAAAAAAAAATTAAATAAAAGGAAAATTTGAGAATTCTAAGATGCCAAAGAAATAACAACAAGAAAAAAATCATAAAAGAAGAAAAAGAGCTTAGAAAAAAGATAGAAAATGTGTAAGAGGAAATGAAGCGTGTTGAGGGTACAGGACGAAGAGAAGGAAAAATTAAAGCCGGGGGACGATCGAACAGGCCTGAACGATGAAAAAGGTCTGACCATCTAATGAGAAGAAAAAGAACGCGTCTCGTTCGTATTTCGTCGAGAGACGGTTCGTGTAATACTTTATTTGTCCGCCCCTGGACTTCTTTTTCTCCCATCTCTCTTCTTTATCGACCGAGCTCGGTCACGATTCTTTTCACACTCGGCCATCTTTTCCGCCATCTTTCTTGCTAATTACCCGACCCGTTTTCCACCCAGAAATCTCTTCTCGTCCCTTTCCACCTTTCATCCCCATTTTCCTGTCTTTTCTTCCTTTCTCTTTTTTTCTTTCTCTTTTTCTTTACTGTAAGCGAAGATGCATAGATATAGAAGAGAGGCTTGCTGCTTTCCGTAAGTGGTTCTTGCTCGTTGATTCTCGCGAGCCGCGAGTTCGTGGAACACCCTATGAAATATTCAAACCGCCCGTGTTCCCCTCGCTGTGCAGTTTTATGGGCAATTCTGGTGTATCTGTTTGCTCGAACTTGCCTCGCGGAGATTAGGTGAAGGAGGAATAATACGTTTCATTAGATGGGATTTCATGATGAAATGATATGTGATTATATATACTGATATGAAAATGATATTATTTTTTAATAATAAATTAAAAATTTTTTTTAATATCAAATTTTCATTTCAATAACTTTTTACTATCAATTGTAATACTAGAGTTCAAATCAATAAAAAATAGATCAATTAATAATGATCTAGATGGATTTACAAAATGTTTGAATGTTGGAAAGATAAAAAATGTTTTATATAGGTTAAGATTTAGTCAGTGTGATTTAATCAGCATAGATTGTTGCAGTTTAATATGATTTCTGAACCATCATTAACAATACACGATGTTCACAAGCTGTCATCTATACTATGCAGAGATGAGAAGTTGTCTAACCTCGAACAAACTTTTCAGCATAGGGGTAAGGGGAGAAACCACCTAATTCTCTCCCACCTTCTGACTCTTGGCGATCATATTGCATAGAAATAAGGTCATTGTATCTGCGGCATTCGAAATTATGGTTATAGAATCTCTGTTCTATTTAAGTATTATAATTATGCCAATGCATTCTATTTCATCGTTCTATTTTATTTCAATATGTAGTAGTGCTCCATTAATTATTGCAGAATTGAAAATGTGTTCTGAAAAAAAAAAAGGTTGGCATTTTGTTTAACGATACATATATTTCTAAGCTATAATAAGTTTTTAAAAATATATACATGTTTCAAAAACCGAAAATTCAATTCCAGAAATTGATGGAGATAATTCTAAATAATTAAACAAAAAGAAATAGTTAACCGAACACTATTATAGTTCATTTGTATCAAGTGTTTTTTTAAATCTATTCAATCAATAACGAAAATATTAAATACTAATTTCGATTATACGTAATTTAATTTTCGTCGGTAGTTTTAAATGGAAACTAATGAACTTTAAGTAGTTTTCTTTTTTTTATTTTTTTTTTCACATTAAATATTTAATATTATAATTTTTCACATTAATATTTATATTAAATATTTTAATTATCATTATTATTTTAATCTTATAATCATCGATAGATATTTCAATAAATTCAAATAAATGCAAAATTTGATATCTTTTAAGATTATGTACGATTTCAAGAGATTTTATAGTCACGTATAATGATATATATATATTTGTAAGGCATTATTTATAAGGCATTTCAATTATTGAAATTCTGATTTAGCTTTTATTATTTAGATTTTATATATTTGCACACAAATTTTGAAGGATCTATTTTTATTATTAATTCCATTTTGTTTCTTTTCATTTTTTTTTTTTGTTTTTTGTACATAAAACTTTTTGCTATATATTTTTTGTCTATATATACAATTCGTCTCGTTATATTTTTCCGCAATATACTTAATAACACATAATTTTGTACTCAGTCAACTATATATTGTTTAAATTTTAAGTATATAATCCATTAAAAACGGAAAAGGAAATAATTTAAGCTCGGTATGTAGAGTGCATAATCTATTATAAGTGCACGGAACAGAGATCATATTTTTTTGTAATTTTTTTTATTTTTTTACATTATATAAAAAGAAAAATGCTTGTTGTTGCAAATGTTAGAAAAAAAGATTGTTATAAAAAACTGGCCAAATTAATTTCTATGCTACAAAAGATCATTATCTTTTGGGATTTTTTAAATTTTGTGATTTATGAACAATTTAATTGATGGTAAAAGTATAAAATATGTTTTTTAATAAATTGAAATTTGTTGTATTGAAATTTTTAATCTTACCTTGATAAAACGCTTGGCTTTAGTCAAGAGGCCCAACGTGGTATGTCTTGAGGTTTCCGGACCTAACGGAACCAACACCTTCAACTTTTCAAGGCAATTTCTGAGGTGAGCTCTCCTGTAATAAAAAATGCATCAAACATTTAATACATAAGCAATGTATAATTTTTTCTTTAATTTTTAAATATTAATTATAAAAATTTTAAATTTCCTCTCTTAAAAATTTAAAAAATTTAATTTTCTTCATTTCTTATATATACATGATGTTTAAGAATATCATAATCTTAAAGTATAATACATTTTATAGTTAAATCATAATCTTAACTATAAATCTTAATATCTACTCTTGGCAACTACTTATTATAATAAATTCAGTCTTCAAAATTTCTATTATGTTAAACATATAAAGTGTAAGTATGTACATTTTTTATTATTATATAACTATATAAATTATAAATTAAGAATTTATATACATAAAAATAAAAAAAATTTATTATTTTTTTCAATTTATATATTATAATAGAACACAATAAAAATTTTTTAAATAAAAAAAAATATTATAATTATTTTATCAAAAAAAATCATAGATCCAAGAATATCACAGAATTTTTATTTTCAAATTATTCAATTATGTTGTTATCATCTATAGCAAAATTAATATTCACAAATTTTATTTTACTATTTACTATTTACTATTTACTATTTTACTATTTATTCACAATATTTTTAGCTTTAAAAACATGCAATAATTATTCTCAAATAATAAATTGGAAGATTATTTTCTAATTGAAAAAAAAATATATTTTTTCAATTTTTTCTTTTTTTCATATTACTAATATTATTAATAATGATCTTTCAAAAATTGTCCTTAACTTCTTACTTCAAGATCCTCTGTTTTAATACTTTATTTATCTTTATTATTTATTTTTTTTACTTATTTATCTTTTGCAAAAAAGAACAAAAATTCTTGAAAAACAATTTTTAAAATATTGAAAGCAAATTAAAATCGTTATTTCGTTTAAAAAAAAAAAATAAATAAATAAATTTCTCAATAAAAAGATTCTACGACTATAAATATCTACAGAACTATTAAAACTATCCAAAACCAACGTGCACACCCATTTTACCTACTCATACCTATATCACCATTCCGACCAATGGTGGCCAATTTCACGCGGACCCGATTCGTCTTCTCCGGAAAGGTTTTCGAATTACCCACCAGGCCAGAAGGAAACTACGCGGGCGGCATTCGTTTTTCGCGTCACGTATACGGCCACCAACGAATGGAGCGGAATCCAGCCGGCAAACAGACGGCGAAATTGAACGGGGTTATCCCCATCGGCTGCTTACACCACGGGTCGCATGGAGAGTCTACACGCCAGAGTTGGCCGCCGCGAAAGTGTCCGGAAGAAAGCGATAAGATCCCGATTATCGCGGCGATCACGGCCCATTAGTTGAACGAATCGCGCGATAAACATACAACCGGAATACCAAAGCGGGGAACCCCAACGGCGATTATTTTTATTGGGTGGGGGAGTGTCGCGCGGTGAGCCGGGATCGCTTCCTTTTTCGACGGTTGGAGAGATTTAGTTTGGGTCAGAAAGGATGGTCGGTGTTAGTGATTTCGCTATCGGTAAGATTGGGTTGATCTTTTTTCTTTTTGTTTTTTTTTTTTTTGGAAGGGGAGATGTGGTTAGTTTGAAAGTCTTTGAATTTTATTTCGATAGAAAGGGATAGTGATAATGCGAGATAGTGATTTCTGAGAGTGATAGAATAATTTTTATTTAAGATTTTAAAGTAATACGATATTTATTTTAGTGTAAGATGATGATTCTTGAAATTGTGTTTTTATTGTATTTTTTATTTATCATTTTATCATTTTTAAATAATATAGTATTTCGAAACATATCATGATTATGGAATATTTATAAATGATTCAAGATTGTTTTTTTTTTTTTGGATATAGTTCAAAGATTCTTGAGTTTTATTTTGAAAAGAGTTGAGATCAACGGAAACGATATAATAATTTCTTAAAGATAATCTGATAGAATTTATATAATTTTTGTTCAAGTATTTTAAAATATTGTGATCGTGGAATAAATAGTAGAAACTAGAAATTTCATTGTTTGTTTTAGATTTGTTTTTTTTTTTTTTGGATGTTTTTAAGTTTTATTTTAATAAAAAGGATTTAAAATCAGTAGAAAAATTGTAAGATGATGATGATTTTTGAAAAGTAGTGGAATTTATATAATTTTGTTTAATATTAGAACTATTCATCAAAATGATTTCACATGTTATTTTATGACTATTGAAAATAGTATAATAAAAGTGCTTAATAAAATATTGTATTTTATTGAAAGAAATAATTATATTATATATATTATATAAAATATTATATAAAATAAATATTAAAATAAATTATCTATCTTAATCTAATCTATTAATTATCACAAGTCACTAATTCTACAATTTCAAAATAATATAATAATTTAAAACATAATAATCGTAATTATTTAGTAGAATTTTTATAAAATCAGGATTGATGATTTCATTGTAACGTTTTTTTTTTTTAAATGGAATGAATTTGAAATTATATTTTAAATTAGTGAATATTTTAAAAAATATGGAATAATAACTTTTGTAAGATTTGTATTTTGATAGAATTTATATGTTTATTCAAAAAAGTTTTTTAAAATCAAAAAGAAAAGAAAATACAAATTGAAATTTAATTTCTTTTCATTAAAAATTGTTTATTTTCATTAAAAATTAAAAATTAAAAATTAATAATGAATTCCAACTCAAACGCTAAAAATCAGCAAAAATATCTCTTAAAAAATCAACATAGCATCACTATTTAATAATTACACAATTAATAAATTATACAAATCCAAATTTAATTCATTTCTATCAAAAATTATTTATTCCCATTAAAAAAAAGTATCTCAAGCATCTAAAAATCCGCGGTAACAATTCTTAAAATACAATATAATTTATAAGACAATTTATAAGATTATTCACAAATCCAAATTTAATTAGTTTCTATTAAAAATTAAGAAAAACATAAGTTCACCGAAATACCCAAGAATCCACAAAAACAACCCCAAAAAAGATCAACGTGCCTATACGCATGTCCCAGACGCTTGAAGATTTATTTCCCTCTTCTAGCAATAATAATCCGTGTCGCGTCACGTGTGGCAAACACGCGCCATTACAGCCATTTAATTATAACTTTATACCCGGTTTATTGTCCCGTCGTGGAAAATGGAGACAA